ATAACGTCGAGGGCGTTGCCACCGGTATTGGCGGACAGATCCAGAATGTGGGCAAAAATGCTTTGGGAACCGTTACGGGAACTGTTGGTCAACTGCCCGGTATTGCCACTGGTATTGCCGGACAGGTCCAGAACACCGCCCAAAACGCCGTGAACACAGTTACAGGAGCTGTGACCCCAGTTTTGGGACAGGTTCAAACTGCTGCCACCGGTGCCTTTAATGGCGTCACCGGCACACTTGGTGATGTTGCCGAACAGGTCCAGTCTACAGTTGGTGGTGCCGTCGACACCGCTACAGGAGTTGTGGCCCCAGTTTTGGGACAGGCACAAACTGCTGCCACCGGTGCCCTAAATGGCGTTACCGGTACTATTGGTGATGTTGCCGGACAGGTCCAGTCTACAGTTGGTAGTGCCGTTGACACGGCTACCGGTGTTGCAGGGGATGCTGTTAATGAGGCCGAGAATACATTGGGCGGTATCTCTGATCTCAACGGTGGTCTCAATGGCGAGGCTTCGATCGACTTTTAAATCAAATTAACTAAAGACTTGATTAATTGATAATACATATAATTAACCACTTTATGTCTAATTAGATTAAATGTAGCAAAATTGTAAAATAAAATTAACAGTATTATTTAAAATTTGTGTATGTTTATTAGTTAACCATGCTTGAATTTTTTGCTTTTAGTTTAAAACAAGGATGAATTTTTATGTATCTAGACAAATAATTTGACAAATAATCTAAACAATTATTGTTTTAACTTTAAATTAAAAGTTTATTTTAAAACTAATTTAGAATATATTAAAAATGTGAATTAAGTCACATAAAGTGAGTTACCAAGATTAACAATCACATCTGCCAGTCCAGCCTACTGGCAGATGCCATAATTACAATGTTATATTCTATAAATGTGTGGACACAATATAGTAATAAATTCATGTTAATAACAATATTGTTTTAAAAATAATGACCAATAAAAGTATTTTTAAATAAATAATATACTGTATATATTGAAGCGTTGAAACATTAGATCTTTTTCTGTAATGTTTTAATAAATGATTAAATTATTGACGAAAAGAAAGAAACAATTAAATATAAAAACCAGTTTTTTCAAGGATTCTGTGCAAATCATTTGGATGTGTATTTAAACATAGATTATGTTATAAAGAATTGTTACATAGATTATTGTGAACTCACTTCCAGACATTATTTGTTAACTTAAAAATTATTTGTAAATAAATTTATTAAGATTTGAATTATTTATTTATTTTCTGCTAAAATATGTGTATCATATCAAATATGCTGTCATTTGATTTTAAAACAACTATTATATCGCTATTTGTGGGTTATATTGTTTATAAATTGATCAAGTTTTATCAACTGCGATACAGTCTACCACCAGGGCCATTTCCCATACCTGTTCTGGGTAATATATTGCGTAAGTTATCATGCATTTTACTTAATCTTGATATTTATTAATTTATCTAAAATTAACTTCAATAAAATAAAACTCATACCAAAAACAAACAATCAATCAATTAATTTCATACCAAGTGTTTCGCTCCAAACAACACTGGGATGGAGTGTTTCGGCAAATGGCCAGAGAGTACGGCCCGGTCTTCACGTTCTGGTTGGGCGGTTCGCCGCACGTCGTGGTCGCCGACACAGAGCTGGCGCGGGAGGCCTTCCGGCGCAATGAGTTCGCCGGTCGACCAAAATCTTATTTTGGTATTTATTTCATTTGACGACAGTATTAAACACGCATATAATACACATCACATAAATACATGTACAACTAATTCATTAAATAAATACCTAGGTGGCCAATTGTCTAACGAAGAGCACCGGGATGTGGCGTTCACCGATTACGGTCATACATGGGAGGCGCTCAGACGGGTGGCCCACTCGGCCGTGCAGTATGTGTTTTGTTAGATATTTATTTCATATATTAATTAATAGATAATTAACACATATATTTATGTTACAGAAAGTATTCAACAAATGATAAATTGGTTGTTTTGGCCAACGATTGCGTCGACCGTTGCGTTAAAGACATGATAGATAAGGAAGGAGTGGGCAAACCATTTGCTGTCAGGGATTACGTCTACCTAATGGTACTCAACATTCTGGCCACCAGTACTTTCGGACAGAGGTTTTGTTAGAAATTATATTTTTTATAAAATAATTACTAATAATTAATTAATTGTAAAGTAATTATTAAGTATTTTGTATTTATTATTTGTTATAAAGTTATGGTTTGGATGATCCAGAGTTCCGGCAAATAAAGTACTCGATATATGACTTTCGTCGAGAAGCAGGCGCTCGGCTCCTGTTATGGGAATTCTCGCCTATTATTAGACTTTTGGACAAAAGTTTAGTTAAGAAACAACGGATGGTTTGGCAGGAAATGAAAGATACGATTAGAAAGAAATTCATCAAACATTATGACGACTATAACGAGTTAATTGAGAGAGACTTTTGCGATGCACTCATCAGTGCTAAGAATGACGCCCTCAGAGACGGCAAAGAGTCGGCCCCTTATCTCACGGATACCAACCTCTCGATGGCTATCATTGATCTCTTCATCGCCGGAACCGATACCACACAACAGACTTTCCAATGGATTATACTTCTGATGACATACTATCCGGAAATGCAGCAGAAGTTGAGACAAGAGATTGAGTCCCAAATCGGAGACCGAATGCCAAACCATAACTTTATAACAAATAATAAATACAAAATACTTAATAATTACTTTACAATTAATTAATTATTAGTAATTATTTTATAAAAAATATAATTTCTAACAAAACCTTGAAGTTGAGACAAGAGATTGAGTCCCAAATCGGAGACCGAATGCCAACACATGAGGACAGGAATCGATGCCATTATGTCATGGCTTTCATCGCTGAGACACTGCGGGCCCGGAATCCGTTGCCCTCTGCTCTTCCCCATAAAGCTGTAGTCACCAGTAAAATAGGCATGAAATTAATAATTTGAATAAAAGTGATTTATAATTTGTTATAAAATACTAAACACAAAAATTAATTTATTTTTAGGCAATTATACAATACCTAAAGATACAGCAGTTTTTGTATATCAGGGAATTATTTTACGCAATGATAGCGATTGGGAAAACGCCGAGAAATTCATACCCGAAAGGTTTGTGGACAGTGCGGGACAGTTCATCACAACCCGACCCAAAGCCTATATACCCTTCGGTGTGGGCCGTCGTGTCTGTCCGGGCGAAAGGCTGGCCATCGCTGACCTGTTCCTGATTTTGGTCCGATTTCTTCAATTAACACAAGACTATGAGATAACAGTCGACAGTGAGTTAGGCATTAAAGCCGATCCTAATATTACCGATTCTTACAGTCCGTGTGATTATAAAATTACATTAAATAAACTCAATAAATAAAACTTAATTAATATGACTTTATTTTGCAAATACATTGATGGTTTAAGTATAAAGATGTAATATTTTAAAACATTGTAAATACTTATCATGTTTACTGTAAATAAATTGAACATGATCTAACAGCTTAAATTATGTGTTTAATAGTGAGTTAATTCATGGTGATTGTGCTGCAATATGATCATGTTTGAGCACTACAAGGTTGCTTCATTCATAAAATCATTGCTAATAACAACAAGCAATCAGTGGCTAAAACAGGACTCTCTTCTCTCAAGGACTCGGATCTCATGTCTAACCTTAACATTGAATTCTTGTGAAGAGTGTGTTTTGATAACACTTTCTTCGGCGCAAAATCCACTTTCAAACCCGGATTTAGTGAACAATAAAAACATTGCTATTTATATCATGTTTACATTTTTGTGGTATAAATATAGCGAAAGGTGTGGTTAATAATACAAAAATAGTTTTATAATCAATTCTGTCTATCTAAATAAAAGTTTATAATGTTTTTACCATGTTAAATAGTTTGTCACATTTTTAACAGCAATGTCTGTATTTAAACAATTAATATCGCTTTTAACCAGCGATTTGTGTACAACTATTATAACGCTTACAATCGCATACATAGTGTACAAGCTGTCAAAGTTTTACTACCATGTTTACAGTCTACCACCAGGACCATTCCCACTGCCCATAATTGGCAATGTGCTTGGTAAGAATAAAAACAACACCAGGTTATAATCAAATTTTTAAACAACTAACATAATTATTAGGGATAGGACTTGCATTTTTTATATACATTGCAACATAACGTCATACATGGGACTTTACCTTAAAAGCATTACTAACGGACACAGACCTATTAACAATTTTGATGTATATACAAAATTACACTTTAATATATACCCTAATATCCCATAGACAGCGCGCACCCTGTGTATAACGCGCAGTAAGAAATTTAACAGTATTTTTGAATGAAAAATCATTTATAGATAACGCGCACCCCATGTATAACGCGCATATTTTCTACTGTATATTTCAAACTTATTAGTGTTGATTTATTACTGTTAGTGATTTATTAGTGTTAGAATAGACACTTGTTTTTAAAATACAATTTAAAACAAAATATTTTAATTAATTTGTTGTGATTAAATAAATCATGCAATTATGCCTAAACAAAGGAAATCATATACTAATTAAGGACGGCGCGCAATCTTTGGTCAAAACATTCACAAAATTGGCTGTCATACCAGTATTAACTAGAGTGTTAACTAAAAAATTACAGCCATTAGATCTAAGTGTCAACAAATCTTTTAAATCCAAACTTAGAAACAAATGGGAAGAATGGATGTCAAATAATTTGCATTCATTTACTAAATTAGAGATGTGTTCGAAATAGATTCAGGTTCTGATTTTGATAGATTTGATTAAACATACTTATTATAATTGTTTATCAATAAACTAAAATATTTGAACAATATTTTTTGTTATTTTTTCAAACAATATATAACGCGCACCCCGTAGATAACGCGCACCACTAATTTTGGCAAGAATTTCACTTTTTTCAATAGATAACGCGCGCGTTGTCTATGGGATATTAGGGTACCTGATTTTCCCACTAAAGTCCCATCCATAATAATTATCAGTGTTATGAATGCACAATGTTTGAATTGGTTTGCACAGCATTCAAATCGACCAAGTCCGTTTTCGATGTGTTCAAGGACTTTGGCTACGAGTACGGCCCGGTATATACCTTCTGGATATTCAATAGGCCTCACGTGATGGTCACGGATGTGGACATCGCTCGCGAGGCGTTCAGGAAGAATGACTTCGCGGGTCGACCCGACTCTTACTTCGGTATGATTTGCAATAATGAACGCCATTTGTGTACATAATAATCATTTTGCACTTTGTTTTTGATCGTCTAATTAATAGGCAGTCAACTGTCTAACGATCGCTTTCAAGACGTTCTCTTCACAGACTATGGTCACACGTGGGAAGCGCTCCGACGGGTGGCCCTCTCGGCCGCACAGTATGTCTCATATTTTGATTGTTTAATATGTCTATTGTATCACACAATTTGTATGACAATTAATGACATTTTATTTTTTATGTAGAAAGTACTCAACAAATGACAAACTCGTGTATTTAGCCGTTGATTGTGTCGACCAAACAGTGAAGGAAATGTTGAACAGGGAGGGAACGGACCGGGCATTTAATCCGCAAAACTATATCTACTTAATGTTTCTCAATATTATGTCCGCCAGTGCTTTCGGCCAAAGATTTGTATTACATGTCATTTGATTTTCAATAACTTTAAGAACTAAATCTAATAATTAATTGTTTGAAACATTTTATCATCAGATACTGTATAACATTGAAGACAAGGAATTCAAGCAAATAAAGTATGCGCTGAAGGACTTTGGCAAAGAGGCCGGCAGTCGGTTCCTGTTGTGGGAGTTCTCGCCGTTATTGAGATTTTTGGACAAAAAGTTGGCACAAAAACAGCGAACAATTATTGCAGAATTGGTTGAAATGATTAGAAGTAAATTCAGACCACATTATGACGACTATAACGAGTCAATTGAGAGAGACTTTTGCGATGCACTCATCAGTGCTAAGAATGACGCCCTCAGAGACGGCAAAGA